ATGGGTTTTCTCATTCTGACCTCCCAAAGTAGATCTAACTGCATAGAATAATGGCCTATTTCTGGTTTCAATAGTCTTCTCCCAGAAACAAATGGTGGAGGATTTAGCCCTCTGCCCCTCCCAGCAGTACTTGTGGATTGTACAACTCTGTCTCTTTGTCCTTTACCTTCTAAAAGCAGATGGTCTCTGAGCTTTTATCTGAATTGAGAATGCTCAGTAGAAAATCTGGGATGGAACTGTGGTTTTCTAACTTCCTTCCTGATGTAGGACAAGTTTGGTGGTGCACATCTAATCCTGGAGGGTATTTCACAAGGAAAAATGTGGGGAAATGGGCATAGGGGCTTCTTCTGTGTTTATTTTAACTCTAGCTCAATACACATCAGGCTCTAATACAAACACTCTGGGACCCTCACTTGTTTACAGCACAGCATGGACGAATCATGGTTGCCCCTTTTCCTGTCTGGGCTGCTCTCACATCTGATCCTCCAGCGAATATTATGAGAGAAGATCCATACTTACAATGTGAGGTAATAAAAGGACAGAATTGTATGTTGATCTTCTACGCCATTGGCTGTGATGTTGTACAGTAACTGCTTCTAACCCTACATCGTTCATAGCTTTGAGCTGTTGACTGTATGCCATCCATGAATTGGCAAAACAAGATAAATACAAGAGCAGGCAATGCCTTTATTTTTTTAAAAAATCAATCAAGCAGGAGGTGAGGAGGGCAGGTGGGTGCCCTGTGCAGTTCCTCACCAGGGTGCGTTCCCCCCGCGACGGAACACCCACCTACACACAGCATCGTCAGAAATAAAATGCCTGGGGGTAAAATGCCTGCCGCGACTGTCCTCATTACCCCCAGGATTTTCATTTTTACCCCATTTGAGTTAATTTACCCCTGTTCCCTGACCACTGTTCTACGTAGAGAACGTATCTGAAATAAAAGATATGAATTTGATATATACACAAAGCTTACCTGATTGATACTATCACTGCAAGGTGATAAATCAATAAGGCCTCCTGCAGTTTGTCTTTCAGACCTGTATTCTGCACAGAGTCCAACCCCAATATTGTACAGCTGTAAATAAATATTAATACTGAAATTAACAAAAAAACTAAGTTAAAAAGGAAATTAATTACCCTTTATTCTTATCTTCTTTCTTTCTTTGTTATAATTTTTTAAAAATTAAAGTCATTGCATATCATGGTGAATTTAAATAATTTCATGTCATGGGGATGAACACTGTTTGAAGAAAATGATATTTATTGCAACATCTTTGGGCAAGTTGCAGGTGTTCTTGGAGAAAATGGATAGTCTAGATCAATTTAATTGGTTTTCAGGCTGCACCATGGAACTGAAAGTGTATTGGTCACCCTTCAAGACAACCTGCTGAGGTTAGGAAGTTAGGAAGTTAGTAAAAGTGGAACTGTTTAAAGCTGTCTTTTATTAGTGATCTTATCTATGATGTCCAATGTCATTCTATATTGTTTATCTATCTAAAGATAGCTTAGCTATCTCACTGATATGATTGTCAATTTGTATTTGTAGATTGCTTGTTATTTACATTGGTGTATTGCTTGGCATTGCACTATGGGCAGTATGTAAATCGAAGTAACAAACAAAAATTGTATGTATTCAAAGTGACTGAGGTATGAAGTGCCCCCATTTCAAAAACTGAGGCTATGATCCAAAGGCATGCTTCAGTCAGAGTCTGCTTCTTTCACCAGAATGGACAATCCTCTTTCTCTCTTTCCTATAACCTTCCTGCTCCCTAAAAACACACTCCAGGGTACTGTGAATCCTTTGAAAGATAGTTTTGGAGCCTCAGACATCTGTAGCCAGATGAATAGGATAAGTCACAATTATACTGGTGTTGGATATAATCGCACACCACTGGATACTGAAATATAGGACTAGGCGTTCTTTAGCCAGACTAAGGCAGCAGACTTCCAAGTGTGGTAAAATGGGTGTTTCCCTCCAAACTCCACTACTCTAGAGAACTGTTGCTGTGTTGCACTGATGTCTGGAGCTAGCTGTTTTCTCAGTGTTGGGCGCTGAGGACCTCTCAGAGGTCTGCTCTGGAGAAGTTGCCTCTGCTGGATGAGAAGAATCACTTATGCCATAACACTGGAATTTTTTAATGGCTAAATGACAAACACTGCTTGGTTCTGAGAGGTCCTCCAAGCCTGACAGTTAGAAAACAGCTGGCTCTGTGGATGGAGAATATTATGCTCGGTTTTCTTCCCACCTTGGAGGGAGAGAGAGCTTGGACCATTCCTGCAAAAACATACCACTGTATGGTTGTTGTGGGTTTTTCGGGCTCTTTGGCCATGTTCTGAAGGTTGTTCTTCCTAACCTTTCACCAGTCTCTGTGGCCGGCATCTTCAGAGGACAGGAGTAGTATTCTGTGCTCTCGTGCAGTTTGTTTGGTAGTTGAGTATTTATAGCTGTCGGCTCAGCTTTTTTCCTTAATACTTGAAACTGGGAGCATTAATCTCAACTTTTCATGACTCAGTTCAGGCTGCTGGAAAATTCAAGTTAACAATGAGGATGAAACGAAGACTATAATGCACTTGCCTTGCCTGAAGAGCTTGGTTTGTGCTGTACTGGGTGCAATTCAGGGTACACATTTGCAATAAACCACTGGAAGTGTTTGCATCCCAGTCCCGTTTGCTGCTGCACATGCTCAGTGTAGCTTAGTTTTTCTGTCTGTTGAGAGTACAGAAAACAACTGAGACTCTATTAAACATCTTTATATTTATTTGAATATCTGCATCAGTATTTTGCATACCAATGAAGTTCTGTGCCTACCATTCCCTAATTAAATATTGCAGCATTACAAGTATTATGGTTATTTCCCACATAATCATGAAACCCAAACTCTTGAGTATTTTCCTGTCATATTTTAAAATGAACATCCTGGATATTGTGATCGGCACATCATAGGATGTTTAATACTGTGCAAAAACCTGTGTAGGATTAAGGTAAAGGGGCAACGTCTGAGGATCAGGTAGCTGCATCTGTCTTGCCTGCACATTTCCTCTTCTGCTTCAGCCTGTCTACATCACTGTTTCTTAACCTTGGGTTACTCAGGAGTTTTGGACTGCAACTCCCAGAAGCTTTCACCACCTGCTTTGCTGACTGGGGTTTCTGGGAGTTGCAGTTCAAAAGCATCTGAGTAACATTCTTCTGCTTCAGCCTGTCTACATCATACCTCTTTTGGCCTTCAAATCAAACCCCCAAAAGCACAGTTGGCCATTTCGGCCAATTTCCACCCACACCTGCACCTATCATGGTCACATTGCAATCATATTTTGAAGAAATATTATTGCAAGGCCTGAAACAGGATTACATGCTTGCTCTCAAATAGTCCACAATGGTGAATTTGTGCCCCTGGAGACTTCCGGTTGTTTGATTGCCCATTCTCGAGACCTGTCATTGCCCATGCCCAGACTCTAAGATCACTTAAGTTGCTATCCTCAGGGCATGCTTTGATTTATTTACACATCTCTTCTTTTTAAAATAAAAACCAGGTCCAGTCTATATGACAACTGTGAGAACATGCAAACTGTTTAAATGCTACAACCAGCTGCAAATGTTTCATTGCAATTGATAGGAAAAGAAGTGAGTAGAAGAGGGGAAGACAAGAATGAACACAGAAGACCAACAAGAAGATAAATTATGCATTAAAATAATTATAAAGTTTACTATAAACTCACAAGTTCTCTGGGTTTTAACTTGGTAATTAAAGATGCCTTCTTGTTGTGCTTGTAAAACAGATATTTAAATGAATCCAACCAGGTCTCTGCTATTCGTATTTTATTTCTCTCAACTGCTTCTTCATTTAGAAAGTTATCTGGCATGCCCGCATGATAGACATGCCCAACCCGTGAACATGGAAGAATTTCAACAGATCCCCCACATAGCCAAGCCTGAAATTGGGAAATAAAAGGAAAAAAACTAAAGCAGAACAAAACCTCAAGTACACACTCAGAAACATGGGGGTAAATTAGGCCTGTAGGACCTGCAGTGCTCTTCCATTTTTGGACTCCAAATCCCATCTGCCATGGGCAGCATGGCCAGTGGTCAGACATGATGAGAGTTATTGTCCAGCAACATCTGGAAGGTGATAGGTTCATCACTTCTGGCATAATCAGTTCTTTTATCCCCAAGACAACACCACCATAACAATCATACTCAGCTGAAAAAATGACAGAAATTGTAAGAGATTTAAGGAATATATTTTTGGAACTCGATTCCAGACTAGCTGTATTGTTCTCCTAAATCAATGGTTCAATGGATCATCAGTCCACACTCAAATAACTTTTCAGACACAAAAAGTTAAATTTGTTTGAAAGAATGATTTCAACGGAAATGAGATAAAGCAGTATAAGAATGTATGTTTCAAAATTGTCACCAAGAAAAGATTGAGCACTTAAAAAATAAAACAAGTGGATTGCTAACCGTCTGATGCAAGTGCCCTATACTGAAGATGACAATCTGAACTGTACTGATCCACAGCTATTGTCCTCTTTTGACTCCTCCTGCCATGACTAAACTGATGTCACCTAATTGAGACTAATTATTCTAAAGTAATCTCAATAGTCTCTCACTGCAGTTTCAAACCACTGATCTCACTAATCAGCATCCTCTTTCCTGCAATTAGGCTGTATTTCCGTTTGTGCATAAGTGCCATAGGTACATAGCCTTGTGGCTTACAGCCTATGTGCACCTACTTATTTTTCTCTCTAAAAATAAAAGAAAAAACCCTCTTAAAACAGAAGAAAAACTGGGGCTCCAAAACGTGCAGGTTACAGTCCTATACATATTTACCTAAGAGCCAAGTGGCTACAGCCATGAGTAAGCTTAGGTTCTTTCAGTCTTAGAGCCTAACTACACATGAAAAAATGTGAGAAATACTATGGGTTTGGAACAGGCTGATTCCCATTTTTTCTTAATGATCACATGGGAAATGCAAATCAGACTAGAATCCCCAACCCTCAATCTGTAGTTTTTCTTCCCCACCACAGAATCTTCTGTTCGCAAACTCAAATCCTTTCTCATCAATTCAAGTATATGATCCCTTGAAAGGGAGGACAAGGTACATGTGCACACACTCACATGGCAGTTCTTTGCCAAAGCACCATCCACCTTGTCTCTTCCTCATGATCTACGCATGCACAGACAAGCAGCACCACTTTTTCAGAAAAGCACTTCTCTCTCTTTTTTTAAAGTCTTTTTTACAACTTCCCTTTGGTGAACAGAGTTCCTGCTTATTTATTTTTTACAGTTTAACAGAGCTCTCCTGGTAGGGAAGATAAGATGAGGAAATGAATAACTGAGGAAGGAAAAGCCTTCTTAAGGCAGTTCATTTGAACTACGCCACCTCCAGGTGCTTCAAATGGAATTGCAATTAGAAGGCCTACTCTGCCTGTGTGGTCACATAACTTGAAAAGCATTGAGTCTTCGGGTGCAGCTTCACAGTGAGATAAAATTAGTTAATTCACAATTCCCTCACAGTGTAGTCACACCCTGACTAAAGTTAGAAGCAGCAGCATAAATTATGTTAAATGAGAAGGGAGAAGCAGATGAGGAAGACACCAGGCAGGAGTCTGGAAGAAAAGGTCAAACTCAGCAATGTTTGGCATGAAAGCCTATTGAAATCAACAGGAAGTGGTGGCTGATTTTCAAGAACTGGATATGTGCCAACTTTTTATCCCAATGATTTGTTATTTTATGGGGTGAAGGAAGTTGTTCTTTTATTTTATAATTACAGTAGTTTAATTATTTTGTCTTTGGGCTATTGTACTTCTAACTTGGAAGACGTAGTGATTTTCTTTCTTGAAAGAAAGATGTCTAACACATTTTAATAGTACTAATAAAAATGATCACCATAACCTCAGGTGTTTGCCTCATCCTGAGACTGGCCCTAAAAGGACATTACTGAGACCAAAAACATGTGCTCCTGTTTTTGGAGGCATTGGTTCATGGTAAGAATGGACTGTGTTATTTTTTTCAGAGCTTTGAAATGTTACTTGTTTGGACTACAGTTCTCAGAATTCCTCAGCCAGGTCAAGTTCTGAAATTTTTTATACATCACCAAAGAGTGGAGGATTTAGTCTTAGCTGCTTACCTTTATTGATAATTCAAGATTTTCAGCCCCCCTGAGGGTCATGTCAGAATCGTAACCCCCTATATTCTGGAAATGTTGTCGGTGCACTGCTACTGTTTCTCCAGGCACTGCAGGACTCCTAAAAGGAAGGAAGGAAGAAAACAATATCTTTCTTTTCCACAAACTCCCCTTTTATTCACCATCTGGAAATGGCAACAAGAAGGATGTGTTTCTCTCAAGACTATTATTGAAATCGTAAGATAATGAGCCGCATCATATGCAAGACAGAGGTTCATGAACTGAACTACCCCCCTATAGCAGGGATGGGCAAAGTGCAGCCCTCCAGAGCAAAGCTTGGAAATAATGTGTTACATGTAATGTGGTAACATTAAAATGATTACTTCTGCATCAGCAGGAGGACAAGCCAAATGATGCATCTGACGCAGCACTTTGAAAGTATCATTTAAAACATGTTAACATTACTTTCAAATTGTTGCTTTTTAAAAAAGTTTAGGAACTTTTTAAAGACAGAGTGTTACTCAGAGTCTTAAACAGAGTGATACTCCTGTCCTCTGAAGATGCCGGCGACAGAGACTGGCGAAACGTTAGGAAGAACACGGCCAAAGAGCCTGAAAAACCCACAACAACCTTTAGGAACTTTCTTCTTATTTCATGCAGAATTAGTGGTCTTAATGTTAATATATTAAATCTAATACATCATTGCCAAGCTCAGTTCCAGATGTTGTTGGACTTCAACTCCTACTAACATAGTCAGCATAACTAATGGTAGGATGTTGTAAGGTGAAGTTTCAGAACAACATTTGGGGACTACACATTACCCATCCCAGCAATATGAGAAAGATATGAAGCAACAGATTTCACCAATTCCCTTTCTTCTCTGCAGATTCCCAATACCTCTAACTTCCCAATATGCCTATTAATCTGCTCTGGAGGGTTGGAGAATTCTCTACAATAGTGTGTGAAGTGAAACTGGAGACTTAAGGAGGATGGAGGAAATTGGGAAAAATGCAGCCCTCTCCCTCCAGTGGGGAAGCTTCTATTGGACTGCAGTCCTCCTCTTCACCAGTGGAGGAGCCCTTCCATTTACAGAAGACCAGCTCCGGACTCAACTCAATGGCAACACATCCTATTCTGCCTGTTACACAAACCTGCTTTGATCTGCATTTCCCAAATTATACTGGTATCATTTGTTAATTATCCTTGGGAAACAGTCCAACTTTGTCTAAATATGGAATGTCTTAGACACATAACACTGAAAGATGAGCATGCCGGAAGTATACCAGTATCAGAAGAGGAACAACAACAACAACAACAACAACAACAACAGTGTCCTTTGAAAGCCCACATGCACTCTTCAGGTACAATCCTCAGTCCATGAAAGGAATGGAAAAGGTGTTGTTGATATAATGTGAGTCAAGATGTACACATGAATTGCAGTCCACCAAATATTTAAGTCCCTCTTCATGCACTATGGGCAGTTTTGCTATTTACCAACAAATGTAGCTGCTCAAAGTATTCTGTAGCAAAGTTCCTTTGAAAGCCCCCACGCACTCTTCAGGTACAATCCTCAGTCCATGAAAGGAATGGAAAAGGTGTTGTTGATATAATGTGAGTCAAGATGTACACATGAATTGCAGTCCACCAAATATTTAAGTCCCTCTTCATGCACTATGGGCAGTTTTGCTATTTACCAACAAATGTAGCTGCTCAAAGTATTCTGTAGCAAAGTTTGTGGCTTGATATGTACTACTTGGAAGTACTCATTGTTTTGGTTTATCAGTCTTCATTTATCTATATCTGGAAAGCTTCTAGCATGCTAAATCTTCAGTACTAATAAGCAGCAATGCAGAATGGAAGCTGGGAAAACATCAGTTTCCCCCAAACTATGGATACCCGATTTCATCTCCAGCACCTAAGTGGGAGATAGGTTAATACAATGTAGAATTTGGAAAGCTGCAGTTTTTATTTACAACCTTGCATTACATCTATATCTTGTGTGACTGAGAGAGACTTTACTGGCTGAGGTGATTATCTATCCAGCACCAACCAATCATTCTGTCCAGCCTTTGAATTCAAAGAGACCTTCATCTCTCTTCTGAGTGTTCCTTTCCCTCTTTTTTGTCTTTTGGAGGCAGTTGTTAGTTTGCTCTTGCTCTGTCTGATTAATTGCTAAGTATGTGTGTAGTAAAGAAAGCAGTATACATCAGTCTGTAATTTCAAGCAATTGTAAGTAAAGATATTTTTCATTCTTTCTCCTATGAATGTCTCAGAGTGAATTATTGAGATTTTAAGTGCCAGTTAATGAGAAAGAGGAGGACCCTGGGGAATTTGTAGCTATTCTTCTCTGTGAGTCCCTGTACTTCCGCTGCACAGAAAAGAGAATTTTACCAGAAGTTCAAAACTCTACAACATGGAACTTTCTCCATGCTTATATTAGACTCTGACATCCTCAAACAATGGTAGCTGGAGTCTCCATTTCGAGTGTGTGCACTGTGAATCCATTATCAGATTTATAGGGACCATCAAAGGTGCTGAAACCTATTCACAACAAGATTCAACATCTTAGTCAACTCCTGTAAAGTAAATAGTAAAACCTGGAGGAAATTCACAGCATCCCATGAAATTGGATTGGTCAGCTGCCACTGTCCACAATCTGCTATCACACTGTTGGCTGAGAGATTCTGGGAGATGGAATAAAGACACACCCCTCCAAGCTCTAAATTCTTCAGAGGCATGAGTATCAGCTGATGAACTGTTACCTGATGGGGCTGATGGGAGACTCTCGTACCTTCTTTTCATGTTCTGGCAGTGGCTTCCAATGGAATTCAAATTTCCAGTCAAAGACACCTATTTGCAGATCTCTAGTGTGATAATACTGTAAGGTCTTCCAGTCAATGATATCTATGACAGGAGAGACAATCCGTCTTCTGAAAAGAGATTAAGATCTTGTTCTTTTTAGGAAAACTTGCAAAATGTGCTAAAAATGCCCTTAGATAAGTTGGTCATTGTAGAGTTTTATACTGCAATCTGTGGGCTGTATACTGTATTTACATTTCATAATTTTTGAAAAGTAAAACATCAAATAATGTTTCGCTCTAAAATTGTGACATTTCAATGGGACCTTTGGCAGGCAGAAGGTAGGGGAGGTGGGAAAAATATTATTTTTGTACTATATGTAGACTATCACTAATGCACTACATCAATTATTAAAAACCCTTTCTTTGCCTTGCATTAAAGGGTCAGTCAATAAACTGTCAAATCCATGGCAGTGGCTTCAGCTGCAGACAGTTTCTCAATCGGCCCTTTAAGAGAAGGCAAAAATTTAAAAAAAAATACTGATGGAGCGCATAAACAACAGTCTATATAGAGTACAAAAATGTTGTTTCATTTCCCCTACCTTCTGCTGAGCAGGGGAAGTTATTAATTTGCCTACCCCCTGAAGTGGCTTGTTTAATAAGCCACTTCACGATACTGGCAGGAACCATCTCCATGTGAACAGTCAGGCTTGATTAGATTGTTTAATCAAGCCTGACTATTCCCAAGCAGTTCATGCTAGACAACTCTTTGTTGCTAGTGTAGCCATATCCTCTGTTTTACTTTTTCTCACATCTGATTGTTTTAACTTCATGTTCTTTATATCACATTTAGGAGAAATTTCAGAATATTTACAAGTGCTTCTGAATATACAATCTGAAAAAAGTTTTCTCTTCAGCCCTCCTCAGCACGTGACAGGAGGATTAAAATGATGACAGTAAGAGGAGCTTGGTAAAATTACTGGTTTCTGTCACAATTCCCAGAATCTTCTAGGCAGTAGAAGCAATAAATTACGAGTAAGCAATAAATTACCTTACAAGCTTTGCCTACCTCTGCCTATAGAAATGGCTAACCACAATAATTGTTGGTTCAAGTTTTAATCATGAATGTATGAAAACCTGAGTGCTAACAATGATCAGCACGAACTGTTAAGTCCCCACCATTTTTCAAGTGAGATCACTTCTCGTGTAGAGATGCACTGAAGCAATAACCAGGATGAAAAGCATGTGCTTTTTTTTTACCTGTCACTTGCTAGTCTGTCCAGTAGAGGTTCTAGCCAGCCCCTGTGACACTCACAATGGGAGTCCATGAAGACTACAACATCCCCTGTAGCTCGTGCAGCACCAAGCATACGACCTCGGGTGACCCCCAGTCTTTTGTTGCTCCTGATCAATTTCACATCTGCCAGCTTAGAGATGTATTCACTCAGTGATGACTTCAGATATTCTGCCATTAATAAAACAATCATTTGAGTGGTAGATTATAATCGTGAAGGTCCCTCAAACAAGAAGTTTGACTCAGAAACATATGGAAATTATTCCAGAGGTTCACTTGCCATTTTTTAAAAAAATCCAGAATTCTAAAATCTAAATGCTGGCAGAGCAATAAGCAAAACAATTGTATTTTATGTTTTTTAAAAGTATTTATTTATTTGCTATTGTTATGTGCTGTCAAGTCAGAGCCAATCTGTAGCAATCCTAGTGGGGTTTTCAAGATGTGTTTTATGCCATCAAGTCGAAACCATTTTTTTAGTGACCCTAACAGGGCTTTCAAAATATGTAAGATGTTTAAAGAGTGGTTTTACCAGTTTTATTTCCCCAGTGAGTTTCCATAGCTGAGCAGGGATTTGAACCTTATTCTTCAGAGTCCTAGTCCATCACTCTACCCACTACACCACACCGAGTACCCACTTATTTATTTAAGTCACGGAATTTACCAGAAAATGTATTTTCTGAATAAAAATAATTCAGTCATGGGCTAGTTAGGCAGAATGAAGTGGCTTCCTCAAGCAGCTGATTTTAGGTGTTGTGAAAGAGCAGCTGATGGCATAATAGCTTAATATATGAAATTCTACCCTGAGTATGAAAACTTGCATTATTTCTGATGGCGCCATTTCCATCTATGATTGTTATCTGCTGTTTTACTGGTTGCAATAGCCCTTCATGTTGTGTTTTTTGGTGTCTATGTTGTAATACTGTGTCTAAATTTTTGCTGTAAGGGCTTTTGGGATAGTATAGGCCAGAAGACAAGACTTAAAGCAGTTCCTGAAAAATAAATGACTATTTGAGAATACCATGAAAGAACGAAAGAGAAAATCCTGGATGTTTGAGTGTAGCAAACATTTTTGTTTATTTAAGTGGACCTTGTAAACACTGTGTCCTTCTGTGGAAATATTTGACAGGAACAGGCTGATGAAAAGAGAAAAAGGCGAGTTACCTTGTTCACTGAGGTCATCAACAAGAATGATTTCTCTCAGTAAGTCTTTTGGGGCTGTATCCAAGATACTGTGAACTGTTCTCAGTAGGGTAGACCAGGGTTCATCATGAAAGCAGATTATTACACTCGCTGTTGGCAATTTGGGACTATATTCTTGTTGTAGGCACCTGCATGGACGATAAAAATGGGCAAGTAGCAATTGTGAGTAGTCATTCAGAAAAGTAACTGTCCTGAGCGCTGATCAGAGGGCCTGTTTCACTACTGTCTTAGGAGACTCCATAGCATAGCTTAGAGATGTTGTTGCTATTCAAAAATACCAGGCACAGTCAAAAAAACATTGACTGGGATTATATAACAGGTACAAGTTTTAACCAAAAATCTTAAGTGTCTGTTAAATATTGATGTAGTATATATGCTGTTCCTATTACTGTTATTTTTTGTAGCTCTGATGATGTTATATCTGAAATCTGCAACTGTTTATAATACTGTGTGTTTTTGTTGTTTTTGTTATTTGGATTACTAATCTCCCAGAAGCTCCCCGCCTTTGCAGTTTTTGGTCATGCTAGACGGAGTATTTTAGGAATGGTGGTTTTAAAACAAAACTAACTTTGCTTTGCTCCAGGGTGGAAACATGGTTTTTTTTTATGTGTCATCATCACATTTATCTGTGATAGGCATATGTGTTGTAGTTTTAAAAGCATAGTTTATTAGGGTTTTTGCCCAATGAAGTCCTCTGTGTAACTTGCAAGTCTACCTATTCTTACATTGTTGTGTGCCATCAAGAGATAACTGACTTATAGTGACCCTAATAGGGTTTTTCAAGGTAAGAGAGGTATTTAAGAATTGGTTTTACCACTTCCGGGATGTGGTGGCGCTGCGGGCTAAACCGCAGAAGCCTGTGCTGCAGGGTCAGAAGATCAGCAGTCGTAAGATTGAATCCATGTGACGGAGTGAGTGCCCGTCGCTTGTCCCGCTCCCGCCAACCTAGCGGTTCGAAAGCATGCAAATGCAAGTAGATAAATAGGGACCACCTCGGTGGGAAGGTAACAGCGTTCCGTGTCTAAGTTGCACTGACCATGTGACCATGGAAGATTGTCTTTGGACAAAACGCTGGCTCTATGGCTTGGAAACGGGGATGAGCACCGCCCCCTAGAGTCGAACATGACTGGACAAAAACTGTCAAGGGGAACCTTTACCTTTTACCACTTCCACCACCCTGATGAGTTCCCACAGCAGAACTGGGAACCCTGGGCCCTAATCCTTTACTCTCTCCAGTAGACCACAAAGGGTACTAGTCTTACATTAGTTTGTACTGTATTTTAAAAGGTTTCAGTTTATTTGCTTTATTTTCATCCTTTTTGTACATCAGACTAATTTCACTTTTAAATCCTTTTGATACAATTAAATTTAGTATGGATTATGCATAATGCACAGGATGCAATGATACCAGTATTTTGCATAATATATTTGCATACAAAGCAGTCATTTTGTATACAGTGGACCCTCTACTTACGTAATTAATCCGTATTGGAACAGTGGCTGCAGGTCGAAAAGTCTGTAGGTCGCGTCTCCATTGACCTACAATGCATTGAAAACCGATTAATCCCGTAACCGGCCGTTTATGTTCCATTTTGGATTTTTTCTGGTCTGTAGGTCGATTCTCCGGCTGCAAGTCGAACCTAAATTTTGCCGCCAGAGAAGTCTGTAACTTGAAAAGTCTGTAAGTCGAGCTGTCTGTAAGTTGAGGGTCCACTGTATAAGCCAAGGATTCCTGTGATACTCTACAATGCACTTTTATGGTAGGACATTATAAACTTTGCACAAGTGATTATGTTTTTACCACTGTTTTAAAAATTAACTATTAAAATGCTATATACTGTACAGGTTGACCACCCCTGCTACATCATAGATTATATGAGCTAAATCATATTGTACAACTACTCAGGTACAACTCACTGTTATGATAGCGTCAAGGCTGCACATTGTACGATTGTTTGCACAAAGGACATGTGACCAACTGCACAATTCAATCAAATTGCACAATTTATACAGGACAGGATTTTGAGCTATAATTATACTATGGTCAGAATGCTACTTCTGAGTTATGCTTGCATAAGGAAATCATTTAAGTCTTAGTGGTAAATTGCCACTCATTAACAAGATGTTAGTTGCATTCCTGCAATTGGGGGTTTGCCCAGGAATAGAACCAATACCTTGAGAAAGATTGATGATTTCCCTTATGCAAGTCCAATCTTGGCAAGATTTATGTGATTTCCCTTATGCAAGTCCAAATCAGCAGTAGTGTGTGTGTGTGAGGTGGAGGAAGGGGGAAGGGCCCCCCTGCTTTTCATTTGTTTGGAGATTGCTACACATTATTTTCTAGGCCAATTTACAGAAAGCAAAACATGGAAACAGGGTTATGAAAAGATGCATATACAGCAGCTGCTACAGTACCTTATTTATTTATTTGATTTTTTTAATATTGCCTATGACATTTACCCCGTGGCCCCTGCTTGTTCCACCAAACACAGAGCTCACAAGAGTATCCCAACACGCCCTTTAAAACGCTGCCACCAGTTGATCTCCTTATTAACCTATATTTCCTATGAAAGACTGAGGTCCATTCAGTACTGAACTTTTAAAACAGAAGCAGGTTTATTGATTACAAGTTGTTTTATGACTCGTTCTTAAGCACATTCTTAAAGTTACACAAAGCTTCCGTATTTTACTTTAACCTCTTCTATCTTAATACAGGTCACACTCTGACTAATCACTCCTTAAACACTCTCTCTGCCTCAAACCCTTAAACTCTTTCTCTCTTCTCTGTCTCTGACTGAACTTCCCAAACTCTCCTCTCTGACTTAAACTGACTCGCTCTGATTCACCCCTCCCTTCTGGTTTCTCTGGCTCTGCCTCCCAGCAGCTCTCATTAGTACATGCAAATAATCTTTTACTGAGCCAAAGCAGGATGATTGCCATACTGCCCATCTGGCAGCCAAGGCCACTCTGGGCAGTTTACCGCAAGGTAAACAATAACAGTAACATAGTGACTAGGATATATTACAACAGACCAAATAAAATATTAATAAATACAAAAAATACACCTACAAACTACTTTAGGATTCGCAAAATTATGGGAATTTTTCAACATCTAGTAGGGTCACCATAAGTCTGCGCACACACGCGCGCGCACACACACACACACGGGGGGGTTTATGGGAATAACAGTGGCTTGTTGTGTAAAGGTGAAAAAGTATTTAAATGGCCATTGGGGATATCCAAGCATTATTGGAGGACCAAAATAAGTTTTTGGATATTGGACAATGTGTACAACAAATGTATTGCAGGTGCATCTCTGCAGTTTACGTTTCCAGAATTCCCCAGTTGATATCACCTTGCTGCCTGGGAGATTCTGAGAACTATAGATTGAACAAGTAAGTTTTCCAAACTCTGAACTACACAACAGTCTGCTTTCTGCCCACAATAGGTGGTAGGTCCATCCCCAAAATGAACCACAACTTCATTCAGTACTTTACTGCTGGGATTGGTGACAGAGAAAGAAAACGGTCTCTCTGAATGTATGGATTGGAAGCAGTGACCATATCATACTATGTTAGCTTGCATAAGCACTGCAGTTCCATACATGGTTACCATGGCGACTGACTGCTTTCATTGTGGAGTGTGAGACTAGGCAATACATATCTTAACATTAGACCTGTGGTAGTTCTCTGGACTGGACCACTAGACAGGAAGGATAACTAAAAGTGACTGATCAAAAATCACATATTAGGCTTCTTCTGTTACCGTCTGGCAGAAGATATAGAACAATTAAGACTCGGACCACACGTTTTCTAAATAGTTTTTATCCCAGAGCTATAATTGCAATTAATAATGAGCTTAAAGACCA